GAGTGGAGAATTCTTCAAGTCTGGTAATAGCAAACACTCTTCATCATGCCCTTCAGTGGCTGCTGACTGCAGACAGCTTTTTTCCCCTTCAACAATAGAAGAGATGGGAAAGAAAAGGCAAGCTTTTGGCCTCAGGGTTTTTTTTTTTTTTTTTTAAACCACCGCTCTTTCCGCTCCAACCTACATCTAAGAGGGAGGGAAACTATCTTTTGTTATCACTCAATCTCCCTTAAATTTAAGAACAGCTGGGGATATTTTTCATGATTCATTAAATTCACATCATTCCAAAGAAATCTTCCTGCCGATTTATCTTTGCCTCGGCAGTCGGGGCTCTGGGAGCGTGCAGTCTCCTGAATGCCGTCAACCTGGGTCCACTGTTTTGGGCTGAGTCTGTGATCTTTCATGCTGGAATATCTCTTTTTTGAGGGTGAAAGAGAGCAGGAAAGGAATCAGGGTATTGAAATGAATCTTTCCAGTCAATTTTTTCCTTTCTGGAGATAAAGAGAAAGTCGTATGGCTGTCACAGCTCAAGACTAAACCCCAGCTAATGTCCTCAGCAGGGAAGAATAATTAGTAAATTCTCTAATTAGAGTCCTGTTTACATTTCTCTTTTCATAGAGGCTAATCCTTCTGTTTAAAGAAGATATTCTGCCTTGATTAAAACCATTGGTTTTAATCGGAGTCACAGCAGAATCCATGGTAAATGCAAATATGCTTGAGTTCCGTAAGTATTCATTCATCCACTGAAGGCTGCCTCTGCACTGAGCACTAAATACAAATATGACATGATCTCTACCCCTGTGGGCTAGGGCAAGCATAACACACAGGTCTCATCCTCCATGCCAGCTGTAATCCATCAGAGAAGGTTTTCTAGAGCATTCTGAGACCATTTCCTGGTATCAGAGAAAGGAGGGCTCTACTAGATAATTGGCCTCCGTTAAGAGGGCAAGAAGGTGGGGCATACTCAAGAGAGAGACCCCCACCCCTCCCCTGGTTATTTGTTGTAGACCCAGGGAGTACGAGCACTGCATGGAGGGCTTTTCAATGCACTCCTGTGATCCTCACACAGCACGCAAATACAGAGCTGAGCATGATTAGATGTGGTTGCTGAAGCCCTGGGACAGCCAACGGCTTTCTGAGCCCTGGCCCTTCCTTCTTATCTGTATTCAAATGGCATAAGGGGCCATTTAGTTTGCATGTTTACATGGGGATACCTGTAATTAAAAAGTCTTTCTTATCCTAAGTCATTGTGTTATATGGGCAGCACAGACCGACTCGGGTTCTGGAACCAACTGTCCGGGTTACACACCGGCTCTGCCATTTGTAGCTGAGTAACGTTTGGTGAATTACCTAAACTCTCTGTGCCACAGTTTTCTCAACTGTGAGGTGGAGCAAGAGTACCTACTTCTAGGATTGTCAGGACTAGTGAAAGGATGCCCATGGCCCCTGGCTCCTAGTTAAGTACCCGGTGTGTGTGATCATTGGTGCTATTGAGGACCTCACCTGGTCAGACTCCTTAGCTGCAGTTACCCTCTCCCCCTTCCCTCCCTCTTTTGGTTTTTCCTCTCTAATAGAATTATGTGCAAGTGGAAAGAAAGAGAAAGGAAAGAAAAAAAAATGCATTTCCCTCTTTGGAGTTAAAGAAAGCCCCCCCCATCCTGAGAGATTCACTGAGGACTCTTCTATAAATATCGAGTGTAACCACATCTGCCTCTTCTGGAACAAAGAACAGTAAGCTTGTATTTCAACAAGCTTTCGAGGAACTTGATAGTGGTGATACATTAACTGATAAATAAGAAGCCACGGGCACGGGCCCTGCCCCTGAATAAGCATAAAATTAAAAGCTTAAGGAATTCTGGATAATTATTATTTCACTAACGTTAACGGGGGCAAACCATCCTGTCCCCTCTACATTGCCCTTTCCAGCTAATGGCCAATGAATGCTTTGGAAGTCACATTTGTGACTTCCTTCCATGTGTAGACCTTTGGAGGGGACACTATAGGAATGTTCAAAGAATTTATCAGACTTGGCTTCTGCCCCCAAAGAGCCTGACTATGGAAGCTCCTAGTACACCCATCAAAGCGAGTAAACCATTTGCAAAGCCAAGTGTTACCATAGGGCCTCTGATTGTCGAAGGGGCAGAGAGTGAAGAGGGGTCTTGAGGGTGGGGGGCAGGGAAGTTCAAGAAGACAGACAGCGGGACTTGAGAGAAAGGTCAGGTAGGCAAGTCACTTGAGGTCTCAGTGAAAAGGAAGGAAAAGAAATCAATGGGTAATCTACAAGAGACAGAGCCCTCTCAAATACTTTGTCTCATTTCGTCCCCAGCCAATGTTCTAGGTTGATACTAACTTACCATTCTTACAATGAGGAAATGGACACTAAGAGCCTGGAGGTCAAAAACTCCTAAGACTTGAACCCAGTTATGGCAGACCCCAAAGCACTTCCTGCTTGATCATGCTCTTTATCTGGAAGCACAAAAGTTGAGAGCATCAGAAATATAAGCTCTCAGAGATGAAAAGGCAAGGCCTCTGGGGAAAAGCTATAGGGGTGAGAGCTTGGGCATGGTGGATGGAGGATCTCTCAGAGAGGAAAGTGCCAAGTAGAAAACACCCTTTGTAAGAAAGAGAAGGCAAAGAGGGGCAAGATTATACTTTTTTTTTAGTTGGTTTTTGTTTTATTTCTGAATATGTGTTAATTTTTACTGAATCTCATGAGGCTCTGTAAGGACTTAATTTTTAAAAACTGCACAGTAAAAATTACCATTTGGAATCCTTTTATTTCTTGTCTTATGTCTTTGGGCTCAGAATATACAGACAATTCTCCATAATGAGACCAAACTATCACAGACAAACTGAGAACTTCATTTCCAGCCTTGAGTTACAAGGTCTGTTCCACCTAATTTTTTTTAAGAGAGAGAGAGAGCACATGAGCACATGTGAAGAGCAGAGGGAGAGAGAGAGAGAATGTTAAGCAGGCTCCACACCCAGGTGGAGCCCGACAAGGGGCTGGATCTCACGACCCTGAGAACATGACGGGAGCTGAAATCAAGAGTCAGATGCTTAACCCACTGAGCCATCCAGGCACCCCCCACAACCTAATTCTATCCTAATTTCTATTAGAAATGAAGGTGTTCAGTTTGGGCTTCTTTGTCCAAAAGATAAGCCAGAGGAGCAAAGAAGGGTGAAGCAATAGTTTATTAATTCACAAAATGAACCCCAGAATCACTGAATGAAACTCAGAGTGCTGTAGCCAGAATCGCCTTCCTAAAATGCACGGTTCTTCATGTTATCTGCCTGTTTAAATTCCTTTCATAGTTTCCCATTTCTTTAAGGTTAAAAGTCCACATTTCTTAACTACCTGATACAGTGATTTGGGACTCCGGCTTTGTGAACAGACACAACTGTATCCAAATCCTAACTCTACAGTTTACTAGCTGATTTACTTGGGGCAAGTAATTTAATCTGTCTCAGTTTCCTCCTCTGTAAAATGGGTTAACAACTAAACCTATTTATAAGGTCCTTGTGAAGATGAGGTGATACAATGACTGCAAGCCTTTACTTAGTTCTGCGGTCTAGTGGAATGGTCACCATGTCCATCTTTTATGACCATCGGTCATCTTACCCCTATCTACCTCTCCAAAGTAATCTCTTAACACTCCCCCTCTCCCTAGCATTTCCATCCACACTGAACTTCATTTCTTCTGAGACAGTTTTCTCTTTTACCCTGGGCCTCTGCATATGCTGTTCCTTCTGTCTAGGTTAGTCTAATTCCTCCTCTTCACATGGCTAATCACTAGTTATCTTTCTATCTTAGCAGAGACGTCCTGCCTTCCCCGACCCCAGCATGTTGAGTTGGGCGCCCTTGTATGGTGTTCCCATGGCACCTCACACATCCCATGCCATAGTACTTGGCACACGTGATTGTAGTTGACTATTTCCCCGCTCAAGTATTTGATCCATGCAGGCTTCATATGCTATCCCCAGCAATTAGCCTGGTGCCTGGGATATAGTTGGCACTTGGTAAATACTTATAAATGAACAATTGTCTACAGTGTCATTGTGGACTAGAGATGGTCTCAAATATACCCTCCTAAGAGCCTGTGGTAATAGTGGGTGTTTGCCTCAGCCCCTCACCATGGTAACTTATGCCCCAGGGACTCTAGTCCTTCTCTGGATCCACAACTTTTTAACCCCTCTCTCTGAGTCCTCACAGTCCCTGACAGAGCCCACAGAGCAATAAAGACAGTTTATCTTTGGAGGCCAAACCCAAGACCAGCAGGACCCTTGTTAAAATATTATTACAAAGAATTTCAAGATGGCAGCAGTAGAGCATTAAAGCCAAACATGGGGCCCCCCTCCGCACGGCATGCCCTGCAACTGCACAGGTCATGCACCCACGAGATCATGCAGCCTGGCCACACCTTTCTCCATGACCCTGTGTTCAGAAGGATCTGACACATTCTTTTCCACTGGGGTGCTAGGAACTAGTGCTACCTAATGCTATCTCCTCAGGAATCAAATGACCTTTAAAGATTACCGACTGGGATAATAAGCTTAAAACTAAGAAATGAATTAGTAATGGAATTTCTGGCCCCTCAGGCAGAGATAATTTTGTGTGGGGCTTAGAGGGGCAGGCAAGAACCTTACCTTCCATTATTTTGTTAAGACTTCATCACACACTAGTCTTTTGAGTTTTTATGCGTGCATATATAGTACATACACACACATCCTGAATTGAGAATAATTTTTTCTAACCTCATTAGATCCATCAGTAAAATGAACACTGAAATATTAACTTGGGGGATTCCAATAGATGTTCTGAGGCTTCGTAAGAGCTTCCATCAGAACAACTTCATGTCAACAAGTGAGACAGTGGACTCTAAGCAGACTGTTGTAACAGATACTTCATAATAATAGAATGCCACATGGTTTCAGAATATACTATGTCTCCATGGTTCCCAACCCTGTCTGCTTATTAGAATCACTTCGGGAATCTTCTAGAGCACTGTGAGGCGTGGGCTCCGGATCAACTAAATCAAACTTGCCAGAAGTATGGCAAACTCCTGGCGGAGTTTGTCAAGCTCGCCAGGGGGTCCAGAGGAACAGAAGCATCACAAGCCACAGCCCCAGCTGGACAGGTTCCAGAACAGGTACAGGTGTTCCCGGAATGCAAATTAGTATTGGAAGTTGGACCTCAATCAAAAGGTGATGAAAATCATGTGCTCGTTAATAGCCTATGAATTTAAATCCACACACAAGGAGGAGAGTTGCTCACTTCACCTGCTGTGGTTCTGTATTTGAAAGCAGTGACAACCCTCTACCAAAAAAAAAAAAAAAAAAAAAGCCTTAAAACAACTTAAGCCTTGAAATCATCAATAAAATATAATATCAATTTCATTCCATGGCACAAATCCCAATTTCCATGAAGACTGCCCAACCCTATTATATATCAAGAGCTTGTTCTAATCACAGGAGATGGATCCTGAAAAGGGCCCCTCTTCTGGGCTGGCTAAGTCTGCAAGTCACTGTTTTTACTACAACCGAAAAATTAATTCCTTTTCAGAAATATTCTCATCTTCTCCTAAAAGGAAAAAAAAAAGGCTTTTTTGATGTAGAGTGACAGGATTATGAAGTGACCCTCTGGGTCAGAAGGAGACTTTTCTTTTTCTCATCAAGGAAATCAATTTCTAAGTCCAAGTCTCTTAAAATAATATATTCTTGTGGCACGCACACAGCTTTTTTGATCTGCTATGAAAAGAATAAGAGGTAAAGAGGATCAGGGGTGGCGATGGAATATTGTAATCTGCCACACCACACATCAGCCTTTCACTAAGTAATTCCAGATAAATTGAGGATTTACATATTTAAGATTAAATGGGGAAAGAGTAGCTGATGCATAAATATAGGAATACAAAAATATTACTGGAACAAGTTAACTCTTAAAACTTAAAGTTACTTGGTGTTTATTTTATTGCTTCACTTGGAAGTTTAAGGTTTATTAGTGACTAACTGAGATCATCTTTTTCAGATCAATTGGACCGACAACGCACCCTTGGGGAATTTTTTTCCCTGTCCTCAGTAAAACCCCAATTACACCAACAAGCAACAGTTAAATGCATACAAAGACGCATAAATGCAGCAGATGGAAAACAGGAGGAAGCAGCTGGAAGTGTGTTTCCCTCAGAACTGTTTTTAACAGGCTGTGCACAAATAATGCCTCTCTAATGCAGAGATAAAAATAAAACATAAATATTGAAAAGGTTACTGGTCACAGCAACAAGATGACATGAGACGCTGCTGTTGTCCCTGGTTCTATTACCCTTGGAATCGCTCTTACATACTCTCTCCCGCGTGGGGCTTTGGAGAAATCCTGAAAATTGTATTCAACCTCGGGATTCTGACTTTATTGGGAGCACAAGTGCAGCCTGGGCCCTTCCTTCCCTGACATTGTTCCTGAGAACCAGGTGCCTGTGTGGCTCTTGGGAGGCCCAAGGAGAATCCCCAAAGGGAGCCACTATTTCTAACTTCCTGACAGCTCAAAATTCGACCGCATAAAGCCATGCCTTTCCTTGCTTGGGACGCTGATTCCACAGGGCTTCCTTCACCCTGTAGGTACTTTTTAAAAACTGACAACTAGCATTGCAGAATATTCATCTTTCATGTATGAAGGGAATTCTGACCAACCATTAAGTAGGGGAATGAAGTTTGGGCCCTTTTTCCAGTGACGATAATCATTCCAGCTGACGTTTCCTTAGGCGGCTCCTACCTCATCATCTGTTCCTCTATCCTTCAAGCACTGCCTGACCCCTTGCTAAGCCCAGTCTTCTACGGCAGGTGCTGAAGAACAGAAGGAAGTGAACAGGGTCAAGTACAGAGGGAAGGGGCATAAGAGGGCAAATGGTGGGGGCTTCTGAGGCGATGTATTATTTCTTGACCTGGGTGCTGGTGACTTGCTGTTTTCTTTTAATAATGTATTAAGCAGTACAATTAGGTTGTGTGTAGTTTCATAATCATTTGCTACTTTTCACAATAAAAAAAGTGAAAGAAAGAAAAAGAGAGAGACAGACATGAAAGACCCAGACAGGGAGTTTTCAATCGAGTAGAAAAGATACTATATAAAGTTACCTTGCTTGTAATGCACAGGGAGATACGTTCAATGCCATTATTTATATAGAGATAATAATTATAAATAAATATAGAAGTATGATAATAAATACAATCATTTATCCATATTATATAATAGTACAGATAGAATTATTTATCTGCATAAATAATTTCAGGTAAATATAAATTCCTATAGGAATTAAAAGGTCCATCAGGAAAGATCAAGGTTATCGGATGAGGCATCAAGAGAAGGCAGTAGTTGAAATCAGCCTTGAAAGATGAGCAACAGGGGCGCCTGGGTGGCTCAGTTATTGAGCGTCTCTGCCTTCGGCTCAGGTCGTGGTCCCAGGGTCCTGGGATCGAGCCCCGCATCGGGCTCCCTGCTCCATGGGAGGCCTGCTTCTCCCTCTCCCACTCTTGTGTTTCCTTTCTCTCTGTGTCTCTATCAAATGAAATCTTAAAAAAAAAAAACAAAAAAAAACGAAAGACGGGCAACAATTCAACAGCAGAGCTGGAGCTCCTAGGAGGTGGCCATTGAGCAGGAGCAAAAAAAAAGTCCAGAGAGAACCACTTTAGTCAATGGAAAGCAGATAGTTTAACTAAATATGGAGAATAATGTATAGAGCTAGAAAAGTATTCAGTGGATAAAGGAGAACCATAGAAGAACTGTGAGCAAGAAAACTGTATCTGTGAACTGTATTTAGAAGAATTAAATTGGCAGTGAGCTACTGGGTGAACTGAAGGAAAGAAAACAAGAGACATGAAGGCCATTAAGTTATCTAGATTATCCTTGACCTTCAGAATACCAAGGTGTGGGGAGGGAGCAGTCGCCCTCTGAAGCTCTATGTCCAGACCAGCCTGAATACCTTCCTTCCTTAACATCCCCTCGGCCCCTCTTGAAATCAGTTCCTCACCGAAGCTGTCATTTATCTCCACTGGTGTATCTTGCCTATTATTTATTCTGAGTCCTATAAAAGCCTTTAATGTGGAAAACATGTATTGTCCCCTCAAAAAAAAAATATATATATATATAAATTGATAGAGGGAAGTTTCACATATAATCAGCCAATTTGAATAATGCAATACCCAAATCTTACTGTTTTTCTTTCAAGATTTTATTTATTTATTTGAGAGAGAGAATGAGATAGAGAGAGAGAGAATGAGAGGTGGGAGGGTCAGAGGGAGAAGCAGACTCCCCGCTGAGCAGGGAGCCCGGTGCGGGACTGGATCCCGGGACTCCAGGATCATGACCTGAGCCGAAGGCAGTTGCTTAACCAACTGAGCCACCCAGGTTCCCCTCTTTCTGCTTCTGAGTTGAATTTTCCCCGTCCCTTTGCCTCTGTCCACACAGCTTCCATGGACAGGAGGTTGCTCCTGAGGGTGTACATGGGACTGTGGGCAAGCACACCTGGGGGCCTACCTGTGTCTCTTTCCGAATTCGTGGTGCTGCTTTCTCAAAGTCTGTCTTGGCCCTACAAGAGTTTGCCATAGTTCCAAACTGTTGGCCACCTTACTTCTCATGGCCATAGTGTGGGTAGCTGTGAACATAAGAAACAGCTGTCTTGCCCCTAGCTCATCTGCCAGAGTTTCCTCTTCCTCAGGCCCCATTGGGATGTGTCAGAAACATGCACAATACATAAAGGTCTATCTGGTGTGTTTACTCTCGTTTAATTGTGGATGGACTGGCACATTTGAAAGTGATCACGGGAGACCAAGGAATCACCTCTACCATTCTGCTACCCACAGCAAATGCTTTCCGAAGGCCCAGCCCTGGTGCATTTTCTGAATTGCACATCTGTCTGTCTTGCTTTCCTTGCAGCAGGAGAGCAGCTCCCTACCCCATTCTGAGGTCTGCCATTGTCGAAAGTTGATGCACGGCTTTCTGTTGCTCATTCTCTTCAGTTTCTGGTACCCTGCATTTATCAAATAAGGGCAGTTTGAGGAAAGTCAAAGTTCAAAAGGACTCCATGCCAATAGGAAATAAGCCTTCTCTCTCCCTTGACACAGGTTTGCGCACACCCCACAGCTGGGTCAGGTTTATGGCCCAAGGGAAGCTTATCATTGTTGGCTGGCTGGGTGACCAACTGTCGACTTGCACATATAGCTGTCAGCAGTCCCCACTGTGTTTCCCCTGTGACTCATTTATGTCAGGCGCTATAGCAACAGGTCTGGGATGTGCACATAATGAAGTTCCTCTCCAGACTGAGTTCAAAGCACCTCTTGCCCTCCCATGGATCAGAAGAAATGTTCTTTTTAAATATCTGCCAGCTGACCCAGGGCCGGCCAAAACAAGGAGGAATTTTCCACCAGGACATACTGGATCTTAGGAGCTTCTTTCCAAACTTAGTGTGTTCGGGTGGGAAAGCTTTCTTGTGAGTCAGAAGCTTGGATCATAGCTCAGATCCCCCAGAATGAGCGAAAAGACTCTCTGAAGTCAGACCGACTCAGCGGTTCATGATCCCTGTCCAGGTGCAGTGCAGTTGCCACGAAGAAGTGAGAAAAATGGGAAGTACGTAGTCAAGTTTTCATGAAGCTGACTTACTTCATCAAAAGTGTTGTCATCATTCAAGGCCTCGTTCAACTATTAGCTTCACTCAGAAACCTGTTCTGATACTCTAAATATATCTTCATGGCCCTTTGCAATGATATTTGATATTTATCTAACCCAATGATGTTTTTAAAAAGCCCTTTCTTTTGTGCAAATAATAATGACAGAGTTTTGAGCCCATACATGGGTTTAGGAAAAGGTGAGTGGGCTGCTCCAGCGTATGCGACTTTTTTAGTCCAGCCACCTGTTCTTAAACCCATCTATGAAATCCAGAGATGTGGTAACTGTTGGGCCAGATAAACTCTAAGGGTCGTTCCAGGTCAAAAGCTTCTGAAGTCTGAGTGAGTATTTATGCCTGTTCCCTAGTGTTATTTCCACAAAATCCCAGTGAAGTAGCTAGTGCAGACTTGGTCCATGTACATCCATGCATTCGTCCCAATATAAATGCCTACTGTGTGCTAAGGGCTAATGCCTACCTTCAGGGAGTTTATGGTCCATGGTCCAGGGAGCATGATGTTTATGAAACATACATTAAAAATACATGTATCTTCAAATATATACATACATATATGTATATGACACATGATCATCAGAGAACCCTGCAAGGCCCTCTTCTCTTTGCATTTTTTTATTGAGGTATGTGTCCCTTTTCTTTTTTTTTTAAAGATTTTAATTTTTTAAGTAAAGTCTACACCCAACGTGGGGCTTGAACTCACAACCCAAACATCAAGAGTCGCATACTCTACCTACCGAGCCAGCCAGGCTCCCCTGTCCCTTTTATTCTTATGCCCACTCTCATTCCCCTCTCTCCACAAGCAACCTTCTTAAAGTCTATCCTCTCATTTGAATATGTTCTTGCAAAATATATATTGCTGGTTTGTGTGAATGTGTTTTTAATTTTGCAAATGACATCGGTACATGTCATATTCCGTTTTCCACTTCTTTCCCCACTTCCCAGATCCATCCATATCGCTGGCACACATCTAACTGTGATGGAACCTATTCCATCTATTTGCTGGTCTTAAGGTTTGTGTTCTAACATTCATTTAAGACCTTTCCTATGCCTAATCACAGAGATATTCTCCTAGAAGTTTACAAGTTATCTTTCTCATTTAGGAATTTTATTCACCCAGTGACCTTATTGGAAATCCAGTTTTAGTTTCCTTCATACAGTGATGCAGTCTTCCTGATACTGGCCACATCCCATCCACTCGCCCCCATCTTTAATTTGTAATGCCTCCTTTATTACCTAAGTGCCTACGTGTACACGTGTGTATTTTTAGAGCGACTTTCCCCAGGTCACTCAGTCCAAAGGCAGCTTAACTAAGATTAGATGCTCTGGAGCCCATTTGATCACACTGTTCCTCTAAAATTAATAAGCTCACTCAGAAGTCACAGGATGTTAAAGCTGGAAAAGGACCTAGAGATTCTAGGCCAACTCTTTCACTTACTGTCAGATAACTTAAACCCAGACAGGTTGAGTGACTTGCCTGAGGCAGAGCAACAGGCCAGAGCGCAAATGCATTTCAAGGCTGTGGCCCCTTTCCCTGTGCTTAGAGCTTTCTCGATGCCATTTGAGAGCCTGGACAAACTAGCACCCCAAATAGGTTTG